ATCCCTGAGCACAGCAGAACTGAAAGGATGTAGTAGGTTACACACACACACACACACACACACACACACACACACTCCTTCCTTGTTTCTCTACCAACTCCCTAGCACTATATATATATATAATAAAATTGTCACCGTAAGTAATAGCTTATCAATATTTGAGGATGTTAATAAATATTATCTTCAAGAAAATTTCTTTCATATGTATGTATACTCTAAAAAGATTAATTTATTTTTATTTTATGTGGATGAGGGTTTTTCTCAAAGTATGTCTGTGAACCATGTGTGTATGTTGCCCATGGAGACCAGAGGAGGGTGAGATCTTTTGAGAACTGGAGTTACAAACAATTTTGAGTTACTATATGGGTTCTGGGAAGCAAACCTGGGTCCTCTGCGAGGGCTGCAAGTACTCTTAACATGAGATAAGGTCTCATGCAGCTCAGTTAGTCAGGACCATTATGGAGCTGAGGATAATCTTCCGTCTTTACTTCCAAGTGCTGAATTGTTTCTATATTGGAAAGTTGTTAGAAACATTGTTCGAAAAAAAATAGCATAATACATGGCTTTTTGATTGTTTTCAATATGTGTATTAATAATTATGTATGAATTGTCAGTGTATCTTAACACAACCAATAAAATATCGGTTATGAAAGAAAACAGCCTAGCCTCAGGCATTTTATTGTAACATTGCTATACTAAAATGACTACCATTCCCACGCTAATCTCTGGAAGGCAAAACTCTGATCTATTCCAAGAATACATAAGCAGCTCTTGGTGCCTATCAGACCAAATGCAGGCCTCTGAACATGCACTCAGATGCCTCTACAATCTGTCATCTTCCAGGAGAACCCTATGTTTCAGTGAACTAGGAATGTCACTGTGGTGAGTGAACCTGAAGCTGCTCCTTGCCACTGGGAAACGTTTCTATTACATGTACCTGTCCGAATCCTAGTCAATGTTTTGCCTTTCTTCTTGGCTTTTAAAGGTTGTTCCATATGCTCCTTCTCCACCAAAGCCTTTCTGTATGATCCCCAAGCTTTGACCTTTCCCACTTTTGAGATATGCAAGTTAGTATTCTCCGGTTGTGACCTGAATTCTACCTCATGGTGCCATTATTTGTATGCTGTGTATTTCCTAGGAGATACTAACTTTTAAAGGGATGGGTAACTGATGCTCTTCCATGTGTGCTCTGCAATGTATATAAGCACTTACTGCCTTAAATAGATGGACCAGGGCACCTGACAGCCAACTAGGACACACATGCCATTTGCCTGCTCGGCTTTGTGTGAGCTGCCTGTGACTCTTTGGCTAGGTTTAAGCGATAACCCTTTGCTAGGTTTAAGCAATAACCCTTTCATTAAGTCAGGGGCTAACTTTCTAGAATCCAAGTCTTTGTTTAATTTTCTATCTCAAGAATGTACCATGGAGGAATAAAAAAAAATGTAGAGGTGAGAGTACACATACCATTTTGTGATAGCTGTTCATCCTTTTTAAATACATTAGCATGTTGCTAGGCAACTGTGCATCATCGGCTATTAGGTACTTCCTATGACATCTCATAAGAAGCCAGTTTTTGCCTTTGTTACTCACCCAGTCTTCCTCTCCAGGCTGCCCTATATACGTTTTTCTTTGTTCCTTTTGGTTTTCACATCATTAGCTAAGAGAAGCCTAGAATCTGAATGGCCTATCCATGGAGACAAGTTCATTTGGAGCTTGAGCTCACAGCAAAAGATAAGAAGCAAAGTTTGCTGCATTTAAGAATACTTAATGATAATTTGTTATTATTGTTACCTTTGTTCACTGGCCAATTTCTGCATGTATTACAATGGTGACATTTGTAATGCTTATTTACTGAGTTTTTAGTTTGTATAAAGTACAGGGCTAGAATATTAACTTCTATGCTTGACTATGTATTTATTTATATGAATGTTTTTACCTGAATATATGCCAAGGCCAGAAGAAGGCATCAGATCTCCTGGAAGTGGAGTTATAGACAATTGTGAGCTATCATGTGGGTGTTGAGAATGTAACCCAGGCCCCCTTCAAGAGCATCAAGCGTGCTAAATCTCTGAGCCATCTCTCCAGTCCCTATATGCATGACTTCTAAATACCATAGCAAAAAGGAAATTGCGACCTAGGTTTATTTGTGCTGTGATTAGTAAGTGGTAGAAATGGGATAAGTGACTGCTATCATCCTTAAATCAGCGCAGGCTGGGGATGGGGCTCAGAGCTTGAGTACTTGCCTGCTAAGCACAAGGCCTTGAGTTCAGATTTTCAGTACTGTGAAAACAAAACAAAGATGAAGCAGTGTGGTGTAAGAGCGACCACCACTATCAGTCAGTACATGGGCGAAAAGCTATGTATGAGAGGCAAAGCACTGTAAACCCCAGGGAAAAGATGATTTAGCAGTGCTCCAGCAAATTCGCACTCTAACCTGGAAGAAAAAGATGAGGCTACTTCATTATAATTTCCAAGTAGATGATATTTAATATGTTACCTACATCTTTTTTTTTTTTTTTTTTTTTTTTTTTTTTTTTTTTTTTTTTTTTTTTGTTTTGTTTTAGTTC